CCTCTGCATGCTTATATAAAATAAAAGTATTAAATTTAGGAGGAAAAACCATGACAAACTTACCATAAAAAATAGCAAATTTGAGAGACAAAAGTGTTAAATGAAAATAATCTCAACACATGTATATTAAAAACTAAAACATTTTTTCAGTCAATGAACAATATGGATTTTTTTTCCGCAACTGACTTTTGGTGTTTTCATTATTTATTTTCTGCCCATAAGCCAATTCCAGGTGAGCATCTCAAAATTCTGACTCACTGGGTCTAAATTTTGAGTTACATTTCTATAAATTTGAACTTACTCAAAAGGAAGTTGAAAATTGAACATACTCCGTAAAAGTAAAACATTACTGACTGGAGTTACCTTTGCCTGGCAGAGGCAGAAGCTTCTATACAGTTCATTTTGTACGGTTAGTTTGGGAAAGAAAATCTCAAATATCTACAAATTCAGTGACTCTAATATGGCGCTGTCAGTAATGTTTTACTGTCGTCACATGTGTCAAAATAAAAAAAATTATAAATTTTATGATATATACTCTCCTTGTGATATTTCGAATAAAACACCCCACCCACACTTTTAAAATACCCCCTTTTTTAAAAGGAGTTTGGTTGGGCGTGCTCTCCGGAGCAGGGGCGTGGCGGAATCTGATAACAGCCCTAACTACGTATTTCGACGTAACGTATCACGTGTGTAAAAATGGCGGCTTGCAGTGGCAGGTCGTGGGTAGTGAAATACAGCTGTATATTCTGACTTTGACTTTATGTTTGTTTAGTTTCGAGATTATTTTTACGTATTTTTAAACGCGGTTCGGCTTAATGACATGTGGCAGCATTAGCGGTTGAATGAGCGGTTTAAACTTGCAGTAGCTGCTGTCAGAAGCAGCTGTGGGCTACTCGAGTGTTTTTAAGTAGGAGAGAAGATGTTTTCACCTTGTTGGTCACGACTGTCCTGCGTGGCTTTGTCCAGCCGAGGAGGTCTGAGGACGCTGAGTCTGTTCTCCAGCTCTGGATCCTCAAACTGGAGCAAAGTTGTCTCCGATGCAGAGAAGATCGTGGGATATCCGACTTCCTTCATGAGCCTCCGCTGCCTCCTGAGTGACGAGCTCAGTAACGTTGCCATGCACCTGAGGAAGTTGGTCGGCACTCAGCACCCTCTCCTCAACACTGCCAGGTAAGCACCGGGGTCACCAGCTCCCCATAAATACAAAGAAATACAAAGATAGCGAGTTTATTATAGATAACTGCAAAAAAAAAAAGAAAGAAATAACATCAAGAAAATGCAGATAGCTAAAATACGTTAAAAACTTGATTTTTAGGGACATATAGGAATAAAGTGCGTACTTTCAGTTTTAACTAGAGGGGTTTAAAAAGAATTCTGCATTACTACTTTAGGTGTTACAGCCATTTCAGAGCCTCAGATGTATTTAGACGAACTAACATACCTTTAAATAAAAGCATTGTTTATTTTCTTGTCGTATCTTTGACAGTCAATGACCTGCTGGAGTCTAGAACCCATAGAAATCACCATATACAGCATTTCCTTCCTTTAGATGCTTTACTGCCTGTTTATGGGTCTCGCTGCCCTCCGTTTTGTATTTAATACCTGTACAGACATGCTCTCTTGGGTTGAGATCAGGTGACTGTCTTGGTCATTGAAGAATAGTCCATTCTTGGGTTGCTTTTGCAGTGTGCGTCGGCTGATTATTGATTTCCCCTGTGGAGCTCTGTCTGCAACATTTGGCTGAATCTGAGCAGAGAGCGTAGCCCTGTATACCTCTGAGGTCATGCTTCTTTTCTGTAAACTCTACCTGTGGTGCTGGCAGGCATACGTGCCCACGTCTACACCATGTTTAACAAATGTGATATGCTTCAGATCTCGGTGCAGGTTCTTTTAGGTGTTCTCTGTTAAGGTCTAAAATGGCTTGCCTGTTCTTGCGTGTAACCGGTGGTTTGCACCTTGCTGTAAATCCTCTGTGTTTTCATTCATGAAGCTGTGTCTTGAATGTAGACTGTGACATGTCCTCCAGAGTGGGTCTGGAAGAGAAGATGTTTTTCTGAACCAAGGAAATTCATCAGTTGTCCTCTTCGACTTTCTTCTGTGGTCTTAGACATTAAATCTAATCCAGAGATTTTATTTTATTTCATTAGTTTGCCACGAAATAATGATAGGACAGTCCCAGCCAACTGTACAACTGCACTTGACCTCGTATATCCTCGTATATCCTTTCATTACTCCGTCACCGTCAGGCTAAAGAGCAGCTGACCACAATCAGCAGTTATTGTTTGGGGTCAAGCAACAGCCGATGCGTTGATAGCGGAGTTTTATTATGTGTATTTGGAAAAGTGCATACACATAAATTTCAGTGCTTCATTCTTTACATTTTGATGCAGGGAGGACTCACTTTAGTCTGTGGTCAAGTGTTTGAAAGTGTCCATAGTTTGATGTGAATACTATAATATCATAAGTAAAGCCAGCTATTAGCCTGTTAATTTCCCAGCTTTGACTGCAAGACTGGCAGATGCGAGGAAAATATATATATATATATATATATATATATATACTTATACTAAATGCATTACTCTGATTGCTGTTCTGTCTTACAATAACATGCATTAGCTACACGTGACATGATAGCAACTGTAGGCTCTTCTGCTAAGACGTTTGGCACTAAGTGTGGAGCTCTCTGCAGGAAGAAACAAATTAACCCTCATAACAATTCAGCAGAAAATTTGCTGTATGTGAAGAGAATGGGGCCACTGGCTGAGATTTAATAACGATTGAGTTCTTGTACAAAAGTGTTTTTGGGCTGAATTTGGTTCATGTAGTTGCAAGAAAAAAATTGGAATGAGCAGGATTTCTTTGATGACTTAAGGTGCAACACTACAATTAAACATGTTAAAGATATAAACTAATAGAAATCACCCCGAAACTTCCCCGGTTGATTACCGAAATAGAGGAAATATATCTTTGTATTACAAATTTACTAAAATTGTAAGGGCAACTATTGCACTGACATAATTTTGATAATTTTGTAGAACATAAATCAGGTGCAAAAGTTATTTTTCCAGTTTTTTAATGCGTTTAATTCAAAGATTTTTACAGATGTATCACCGCATGAATCAGAAATGCCCAAAAAATGTCAATTACTACAAGGTTTTTAGGTATAACATCGCTTATAAATAAAGCTCAGAGTGATTTTTATATACAAACACCTCCATAAAAACTTTTAAGAATATAAACAGGAAGAAAGAAGTTTGTGTTGTGAGTCTGTACCTCTTCAACCACTCCAAGTCTCTCACCCAGTTCTGTTGTCCAAGTTCAAATCAATTTCTTCCCCAGATCTTTTGGATATATTCTCACACTATTGTCAATAAATCCCTTTCATCTGGCTGTATTCCAGATTACTTTAAAACATCCAGGGAAACAATAATTCGAGGCCAATTTCCAAACTCTTGTTTATTTCCAAAATCCTGGGCCAAAGCTGTTGCTCGTCAGCTCCAGATTGTTGAAGGAAACAGTATCTTTGCTCAATTTCAGTCTGGTTACAGACAGAACTACAGCACTGAAACCCTGCTTGAGCGTGGTTGTGCTGGAGGTTTCTTCCTGTTAAAAGGGAGTTTCTCCTTTCCACTGTTGCTAAAACACTTGCTCAAAGGAGGGTTTGGGGGTCCTCGTGCCCTATGACAGCTGATATAGGCTCCAGCGCCCCCTGTGATCCTGAAAAGGATAAGCGGAAGCGAATGGATGGATGGAAAAATGTCACTGCAGGACAAAAACTTAATCCAAACTGTGAAGCATGGTGGTGGAACCATCTAGGTTAGGGTCAGCTTTGCTACTTGAGGCTGTTGTGCTTTGTAATTACTGAAGGAGGAGAAGAGGAAAGCGGTCCATGACCTGAAGCTTAGGAGAGGTTGTCTAAGTGAGGCAAGAGGATAATGATCCAAAGTTCAAAAGAAACGTGTTTTTAGAGTAAGAGTCAGAGTCCTGTTCTGAAGAGGGCTGTTCAATCAAGACATTTCAGACCCACGGACTCTGTTTTTCCAACCAGTGAATTCAATAAAGACACAAAAATCACAACTGTGTGATTTGCAACTTTATGTCTGTCTATAATAAAGATTTATTGTAGATGAACCGCAGACAATATTCTCAGTTCACAGTCCAAAAACTTTTTTTTTATTTTTTGCAACAGTTTATATGGTGCAAAAGCAAGCTCAGAAATATGTTTGTCCTTCATTTACGTCCAGTGAAGGATTTTAGAGGAAGTGACTAAAAATGCTCGGCACTCGTTATTATCCCTGAACTTTATCCGGGGAGTTGCCTGAACTTTGCTTTATCAAAAGAAATCAGGAACAGCACTAAGGAAAGAAAACAAGAAGAGTCCTCGAACTCAATCCTGCCATGCGGACGGGTGTGTTGGAAACAGGAACCCAAGGGTGTAATAACCTATACACCTAAATCTGATATGACAATCCATTTGGGTGTTGTAGCAGCAGGGGGTGGGGAGGCTGTGGGGGGGAGGAGGGGTGTAGCAGACCTCTTGACAGTCTGACTCCTCACTGTCAGCTTGGGTTGGCTGGTTCGTATTTCCCTCTGTGTCTCCGCCATAGACGCGCGGCAGATAAAAATATCCACAATAGCAGACAGGCAGACCCTCGTGGAGTTGGGTTTCGGTTTTTCCTTTCCTTTCATTCTCAAAAACTGCAGCTCAGCTAACTTCACCCCAAAGTGTGGAGTTACAGCGAGAGGCCTGCAGCCCAGAGAGAAGAAACTTTATTTGCTTTAAGGACAGTCCTTGAGAGTTTGACTTCGACTAGAACTCCCTTCTACTGGCTTCTACTCTTTGCATGTGATCTTCAGCACCCACAGTGGGCATGACTGAAGGGTTATAACATAGTGTAGAAAAGAATAGATGAGACAGACGGAGGTCTTTTGAATAGTCCAGACCAGGACAAGAACTGCTGAAGAGACAAAAACACTCCCAAAAGCAAATATGTGAACAAGTAGCTGCTGCCAGTGTTTAACCTTCAAATGTGTTAAAAAAAATACTTTAATTTGTGTTAAATCAGAAAAAAGAGGCAAGTTTCCATTTTGCATAGGCTGTAGATTTTCGATGGAATAATGTGTAAAACAAGGACTAGTGACTGATCGTTTTGCAGTAGCACTTTCTTTTCTGTTCTGTTTGTTGCAGTTTCATAAGTGCCCACTGGGATAAATTAGCAGAAAGGCTAAGAAAGCTGATAACTTGCTTCACTAGCTTCACTCTGTCATCCAAATACCATAACTTCAGACTCTAAAAAACCCCAAAATGCTAACGTTGAGTTCAAAATCAACTTTAGCATTTATGCAGGATTTGTCCATTTTTTATATACAGTCTATGCTGTTACCACTCTGCATCCAGTTCCAGCACTGCAATTAATTTATTTTCTTCCACTTATCCAATTCAGCATCACAGGGGATCTGGAGCTTGTCTCAGCTATCAAAGTGTACACCATGGACAGGTCACCAGTCTGTCACAGGCCTAACACATAGACACAGAGAACCATTCACACTAACATTCATAGCTATAGTTAATTTAGAATTACCAATTGGACTATTTAAATGAATTAAAATGTACACACGTAAATGCAAAATGACAAATAAAATGAAGATGAGGTGGTGCGCTTAGTTAATGTGAAATGTGACAAAACATTGAAATCTGCCTTATTATTTTTATCCATTAAGTTTGGTTGTGTATAACTTGGCAAGAGAATCAGTTTTTAATTCTTCTCTGCTCTACATTGTCCTGATCATTTTAAACCACTGAGAAGAGAAAATTGACAACTGCCTCTTACCTGGCCCCTTTAGAAACTTATTGTTATTAGTTTTTGTACAATAGCTTTAGGATATTTCACTTTCATACTGTGTAAAAGTATATAAAGACGGGCCAAAATTGGTGTGAAGAAACAGAAAAAGGATTGGTACTCTTTCTTAAAAAATATTGGAAAAAACTTCAAACACTATGGTTTGGTTCAACTTTAAATGGTAATTTCAGCATGTGGTATAGGTGGTCATATTGATTGAAATAATCCACACAATAGTTTGAAAATGTCACACTGATCGAACCACTTTATGTCTTAAAGTTTTTTTTCTTAATTCTAAATGCAGAAGGACCGTGGATCACAGAGAGTCCAAGAATCAGTGGATCCTTTCAGGGTTATTAAAAGCAGCTACACATTGTGCTTTACAGTGAGGAACTGCCTGCTGTACACCTGACTTTATGGAAATATGAGTCAAATCCTGGAAACCGGTTTAAACTGTTAGTCAATACTCTAAACATATCATCATCTTAATGTATCTGCTGTGCACTGTAGAGGCGGATGCATTGCATAAAATCTGTTAAATCCTGGCAAACTGGGGGGGAAAATGCAGACACGGGATCAATACGACACCACATGTGAGGTCATACATTTGCATGCATTAATCGCTGCCGGTACTGGACGGTGGCTAAAGTTCCCGAATTCCTGGGCTGCAGTAGCAGAGCAGAAGGCGTGGTGACCTGTTCGCAACCCTTTTAAAATGACAGCAGCCCATTTCTCTCTTTCTGCTCCCGCTCTCTTCTACCACATCATCTTTTTGCCCCACCCCCTTTGCACCCTTTGCAGGAGGGCGTTTGTGATTGATTGATGTATGCTGGTGCGGATGGTGACATAAATATTAATCATCTGCCACCCTCAGGCCACAGGCTTCCCTGGACTCCACAGCTTCATAATTTTCGCTCTCTGGTCGCTTTAGCTCAACGGGCCGTGCTGCTGCGTTCATCAGCGCCCCGGTCTCAGCAACTATTTTCCAACTGGGTAGAAATTTAAAGTAGCCATAAATAAATCTTCTGAGCTGCGATGAAAGACAGGCCTGTACAGTGTCATCATAAATTTCTGGAAACTGAGGTGTTTTATGTGATAGGGGGGTTTTTTTTGGAGGGGGGGGGAGGGATAAAGCTCGGGGGCATTTTTCCTCCTGGTAGCACAACACTGTGAATCACTCCTCTTTCTTTCTTCTGTCATCTTTTCACGCTTTCCCATTTCTGTCTGGCCTCTATTCCCTCCATCTCCCTCCGTCCCCTCCCTCTCTTCATGCTCCGTCTCTCACATCCACTATCTGTCTAGGGTTCCTCCGCCACCACCGCCACCCCTTCCCCCCCCTCTGTGGCGCAGGGGTGGGTCAGAGAGGGTGGGGGCTCGAGGTTGGTAAGGCCGCTGTCTGGGCTTCGAGCAGAGGGGGGCGTGGCTGCTCGTCTGCCTCGGAGCCCCTAACGAGAGCGTGATTCATGGCACAAGGGGCTCCCATAGGGACAGGATTAGAGGTGCTCTGTCTAACCGCTCCCCAGAGAGACTAAAAAGATATTTAATCTGCCCACCACACAAGCAGCTACCACTGGCCTCTGTGTGTTTGTGTGTGTGTGTGTTCGTGGGTGTGCGTGTGCCTCTGTGAACATCTCAGAAGATTGTTGGTGAAGGGGGTGGGAATACCACGACCACCTCCATCACCCCAACCCTTCAAATCCAAAAGAAAAAAAGTCCTGCAGTAAAAAATTATCATTTTTTTCTTGTTATTTTCTGTGTTGAGGAATAAAGTTTAGCAGTAACTATAAATTAACATGGCATTAAATGAATATGCAGAAGTGCGATACTACTGCTGCATGCAATGTGCAATATTTTAAAAAAGGTCCTTTGAATAAATTTATAATTATTTCCTTTTTTACTGTTTATTGTTGGATAAATAACACTTCTGATCAGAGAAACAAATATGCTGCATGTATGGGTGTTATAACAGTAGGGATATCAAAAATATGGTCATCTCTGAATGTGAGAGCAGACCTACTGTTTTTGCAGGGCAACCAATCAGAAGAAGGGTGACCTTAGAGGGAGGAGGAGCTAAAACATCTTATTTTAGACAAATGATGAACTGAGAGAAATACCAAGATAAATGTGGATTATTCTGACTCATGCACATCTGCTTTATTACAGTAGATAATAAGACTATTACTGCTCTGTTTTTGCTGTTTAAATTAAAAGTTTACTAACTGTAACTTTATAAAAGTATTACCATCCCATGCCAGTGGGACATGATGCTTTATAGTCCCTAACTTTAGCTTTTACTGCCTTAAACAGAATTAAACAGAGGTGGTGGCGAAGCAGATATTGAGGTCATTCAGATGGCGCCACGCGCACTTTGCCGGATTCCTCTGGGTGGCATCGAATTCAAAGGTGTTGCACCAAAAGTCATTGCTTTGGTTGCCAGCAGATTGCCACAGTTGCCCATAGTATTTTGCAGAAAAACTAACTACTATCCAAGGTGGAAAAATTGTGTTGCAAACCAAAAATGGAGCAGGTTGACCTGCGGAGTTGTGCCTCATGCCTGCAGCTGGTTTGTGTCCAATTCAGAGCATAGGTTAGGATTAGAGCGAGATAGGTTAGGATTGGTTTTTAGGCTTGTCACATGTTGAAAATGTAAGGCAAGTTGACATCACGTGGTTATTGGTCACATGTCTGCAAAACATCAGTAAGTGGAGTAAGCATAAGTGGTACCTGCTATATCCTCCTGTGAGTTTGAACACGGCTGGTTGGCAGAGGTCTTTTTTGGATGTACTTTTGCCTGCGTGGGGCCTCCCAGCGCTCTGGCTTCATCCCAAATTCATGTATTAATTGGTGATTCTAGATTAGCCATAGGTGTAAAAATGGGTGTGAATGGTTGTGCTCTGTGTCTGCCCTGTGATAGATTTCCAGCTGGTCCTGACTTCACACTCTGTGTCTTTGCCAAAACATTGCTGCTTTTGTTGTCACTACACACAATGAAGAGTGCTGCATGTGAGAGGCAGCACTTTAATGCTGATGCTGTTTCGTTGCAGAGGCTTCGTCTATGACAGTAAGAACAACCTTCAGATGAGGGGGCTGGTTGTCCTGCTGCTGTCTAAAGCCGCAGGGCCAAGCCACGCCGCCTCCGATCTCCTAGCCCAAGACATGGTCAGCGGCATCTACCCCAGGTAAATCACCTCAAATCGTGATACTGTTGTGATAATTATGTCTCTGCTTATTAGTAATTAGATTTGGTTAGCAAATCTCAATTAAAACACTCGTCTCTGCTTTTTTTTTTTTCTTTATAATACATAACATGAAAACTGCAGCTGGTTGTTTTTCTCATTGAAGGTTAAATGTTCCACCTTAATTTGCAGTTGCATGGCTGCTAAATCAAATCTGTAACCACACACAGGCAGCCAGGCTTTCACTTTTCATGTATGTGCTGTTCGGGGGGAAAACAGTGGGCAGTGTGAACATCTGTAGCGATGGATCGTAGAGCCATAAATGTGCGTGGCAAGCCGAGCGAGAAAGGCGATGCCACTTTTGTCCCTGCTACATGGCTGCTGAAGGATAAACAGTGAAATAAAATCCTCGTGTCAGGTAATTCTATCTCGTCCTCTGTGGTTATCCTCCATATCAATTCCTGTAAATGAAGCACTACATCATCCTTTGAATATGATGAAATCTGGAGACAATACAGGCGTAGTTGCAAGATCAAGTGTTTTATATTGTATTCGGTTATATTTAGATTCCGGGTAATTGTGAGGGGAAATACATTAGGGAGAAATTTTAGCCTGAAAAATGTACATGAGGTGTGAAAACTTTTGTTGATGAAAATTTGATAATAAAAAAAAAAGTAAATTTTTTTTGGTCTTGGGATAGACAAGAAATGTGGACAAAGAAGGGAAGGGGAATTCTGTAAAGGCTCACGATCACTTCTCAGTCAGTGTATCACGAGCTCAGCGGCCTCCCAGGCATCAGTTGAAACTATAGATGGTGGAAAAGAGAGACGCAGCTCCTGGGACTGAAAAGTGAAGCCACTGCTGAAATACCTTAAACCTGCATTCTTGTTAATGCCCAACAGGGGGAGACTCCACTAGTTGTAAGAAGATTTCTGGTTGTATGGAAGTCTGAGGAGAAACTGTGACCTCAGTAAATTTGAGCCTTAGTCTCTTGTTTGTTTGTTTTTCACGATGTACTGGGAAAAAAAAGCCATGAAGCCCATTATGTAAATAAAGGTCATTGTTAAGGTCTTTACACACCGGACACGAAAAATTCGTGCAAATATATATTTTTTAAATTTAATTTAAAAAATTTTATTTGTAAAAATTGATTAATTAAGATAAGAATAGGTGTGTCTAAAAAACCAAGCTCATTTCAAATTTTTCAAACCCAAATAAACAGGTCTGTCCAATCGGACCACACGTACTGGTACCGAACACACAATGACATGGAAATATTACTGGTTTACCTCGGACACACAGCTAGACTCTGCAAACAATAGCTCACACGTCCTGAAATATTGCAAAAGCATTCGTAATACAGCTTCACCTCCTGGATCAAACCATGAAATTATCCCTGCTGCGGCCTTCTCCTGAGAATCGGATGAACCCAGAATCTCTATTTCTTCCTTTCCTGGTTTAGAGACACCAGGACCAGGAAAGAAACCCCAGAAAGAAACACCAGGACCAGCTCGTCATTGCTCGATAGAAAAAGAGGATTATGGGTATGCTTACTGGTTAGCAACATAGCAAATGCCAGTTTATAGCCAATGAGCTTGCGGTGTGAGGCTTTCACAACCGGACTTGACTAACAAATTTAGAAGAACAGCTAATACTATAAATAATTTAAAAGCTTTTAAGAAAGGGAACAGGTGCAAAGATTATTCAGTATTACTGTTTTAGCTCTATTATGTCTGCTTATTAAGTTGGGCTTAAACTCCCCACTGTCACTGGTCATGAGAGGTGAAGCTTATATTTTTAGGCTCATATATGCCACAGCCCAGGTAGTATTTAATAATATCATATTCCAGTAGCGCTTGGACCAAATCCTCCATCCTCTTGGCTGCTGGAGCCTCTGGGTTTACCACCTTGCACCCAGGTTTATGCACTCTAACCAGTCATCCCCATTGGGTTGGTTCCAGTTTGCCACTGTTAGCCATTTGAGTGTCATAGCTTTAAAAAATGTTACAGACGTCCATTAATTCCGGCATTAATTAGAAGTTGAATTTTAGTATTAAAGTAAGATTGGTACACGATTCATATAAATTTGCTCCCCAGAGTATGAATCTGGCATATCTTCGCAAATACGTATTAAACTGAAATCATCATATTCATGTTCTCAACAAAATGCCATTAATTACTCTGGCAAACTGCTTTGAGATGGAGTTTTCAGCCTTGGTTTCCAGACTGGAGGTGTTCAGTCTCAGTTGTTTAGAGTTCTTTAAAATGAGCAATAAATCCTCAGAGAGCAGCTGCAGACTGTTAAGTCTAAATATGGTGTAAATGAAATAAAATGGCTCAAGAAAATCACAAACTTAACAGATAGCAGTTTATTTTACATATTTAAATATAAAGGGTTTAATGTGGTATTCATGCTCTGATGCTAAAATACTTTAGGCAGCGCTCCACAGTCCTCTCAGGCTTCCACACGCATATCCAACTAGCAGCATGCAGCTAAGAACAGGGGTGTGGGTGTGTGCCAAGTGGTTTCCAGAAGTGACTGCTGTGTTTGGCGTGGCTATGTGCTGGGAGCCTGAAAGCCTCCTTTCTTACTGCAAGCTGGCACCAGGCGCATGTGTGCAGTGGAGCCGCGTCTGTGCAGAAACATCCTAATATTAGAACTAATTGAAATAAGCCAGGCGTTGTGGAAGAGCTCGAGCCCAGCCCCGTACGGTCTGCGAGGCCACGAGTTTCTACACAGTCACCTCGTGTCACATCCCTGTGACACCGGATCACTGAATCCAACATGCTGCATTCCCTCACTCGCGTGATAGATGGTCCGAACCCAAACACACACACACACACAGAGCATGACTTGATCACCTCATTTGCACTATTTTGCCTCTTCTCTCTCTCTCTTTCTCTGCCCCCACCTCTCCGGAGCTCATTAGCACCTCTGCTGATGGCGAGATGGAAGGATGGAGGGAGTCAGGGTGGGGCGGGTTTGGGGGGTGATTGAAACCTCCGGGGGATGGTCTCCTCCCTCCTGACAGGCAGCATTTGTAAAACATTTCCCACTCTGCTGCCTGACACTGATGATTCACCAGAGCACCACCATGATAGATAGATAGATGGATAGAAACATGCACATACATGTACAGTCCAACTTGTACCCACCACACCTCTTAATTTCTTGTGACAAATGAAAGCCATGCCACTGTGCATCATGCAGGCCGTGTGATGGACAGGCCACCTCTTTAAATCGCACACAGGGACGCACACAGATCTGCAAGGCAGTGTTTGATGGCGAGGCAGACTGCGGAGGGAGGAAATTGAACAGAACAGTCAGGACAAGGGGCGTGGTGAGGGGCGTTACACCTCTGCAAGATGGCATCGGTTGCTATGCAACTGGGCACCAAAGCTATTTATACATCGGCCCCCTTGTCCCCCTTTTTCCTCCCCAAGCTGCACTGCTGCTGATCAGGTCTGGCAGAGTGGAGATTTGGAATTTGTATGCACCGGGGTTCGACTGATAGGGGGGTTCTGGTACTTTGTGCAGGAGTTTCATTTTGGGTTTCCTCATTTTCTTCCACTGCTGTTAGAAGTTAAAACGATAAATAATAATAATAATATTATCTCTAAAAGAAAAAAATGAATTCTCACCAGTTAAACATTTTGCATTGAACCACATTGGAAAATTAATTATCTACATTAATTCAATCTGATCGACTATCTGCCAGATTCAAATCTTTTATATTTTCTTTTTTTAGAGACTCCCTTCACCTTTTCAAAGATCTCTTGTTTGGCCTTAAAATATAAATAGTTTTTTCTTCCAGCAACCTTTTTATGTATATAATCAAAATAAGCATCCAGAAACAAACCAATACAAAAAAGCACAAACTAAAAAACTGCTCTACTTCCATGAATAAAACATCAAGAATATTTGTAGAAAATACCTGGGTTGGATAAATACTGCATGATATATAGACATTATTTTTTTCTTTTTGTTCACTAAACTCACACCTGCACCATCATGCAACTTGTCCACTGGTGGAGGTCTTTTGTAACGGTCAATGTAGCAGAGATGAAAACTGCTGCTGTGGGGATGTGAGACAAAATAAAGTGGGGGACCAATCCATGCTCAGGTCTGGGTCTCCACTGACAGGTGATTTAACTTGAAGGACTTCTTGGTAAGTACTGAAGATGCTGCCGTAGCTATGTGGATTTCTGAAGAATAAAAAAACAACCCAAATCAGCTCTTTTACTCTAAATGGGGCAGTGATTTTCAAAATGAGCATTATCATGAAAAAATTTGCGAGACGAGCAATTAAGACCATAAACTTCAAGTAATCAGGAAGTAAAGTAAAAAGTGGGGTTGTTTTGCCTGCAGACCTCTACAGCCTTTTACTTTTTTTTAGGTAGGAGAGTCGCCCCCTGCTGGCTGTTTAGGAAATAAAGTGAGCATAATATGTTTTTCTGAAAAACTTAAAAGACTAAAATTTTTATTCACATATTAACATGATGGGAGTTTTTTTTTTTTTTTTTTCCCCATTTATGGTTAAATAATTTTTTCTTGTGTAGTGTACTTTGGAAAATCTGTTAAAATATTTTTTTCCCAGATTGTTACTTTCATATGAAACGATTATGCACTGAAATAAAAATGATAAATTCATAAATAGTTTTGTTTCATTGTTTCAAGATAAAGAACGGCTCTGACAATAATGTCCTGAAAATACTACATATGTCACTCTGTTTAAAAACTGCTAAATTAGTTTTGTTGATTAGCTGATCATGTACTAATCTTTTCATCCATTAATGTTGGAATTTAGTGTGGTAATGTGTCTCGATTGCTAAGTTGTTGTTTTTTTTTAACTTAGTATACTTAAACTGACATTGCTGTCTGGATTTTTTATTCATAAACAAGCATAAAATGAGCTGCTTCATTAAATAAAGTCACTTTAAGGTTGGCCAAATAGGCTCTGAAGTGAGAATCATAAAGTGACATTTTTAAAGCCGGTTTCAGCAGAGAAGCTCTTGTATATTGATTTAACCAAGGCTAAAGGGGCTGCTTTTATTTCTGTGTCAATGACCATTTGTCGGGTATTGTATATTGTTTTGCTGTAGCCCTGTGGAGCTTGAGTAGACGGTCTCTTGGCTCTCTCTTAGTTCAAGTGAAAAAACAAAGAAAAGGGTCACCGTAAGATGACTTGGAATAAATTTTAGCCTGTTGTTTTTGCGATCCAGAATCAGCCCCGGCTCTTTTCCTTGTTCCTCTTGTCGAAACAATGAGTCTTCCTCGTGCAGCCCACCGAGCGTAGCCATCACTTCAAGGCACCTTGAGAACACGAGCCTGTCAATCTGTTAATTTCCTCTTATTTAAACCCTGAACTTATTAACTTCTCATTCTGTGTTGTTGCTCTGCGTCACCGAGCAGAGAAACCAACCAGACAATGGGTGTGATTGAGAGGCAAAATAGATGACATTATTGAATTTTAATCACATCTTTTCCTTCACCGTCGTCGAACACGGCAATTACCTGGCTACAAGTGTGTGTGTGTGTGTGTGTGTGTGTGTGTGTGTGTGTGAGAGTGTGTCTTTAGGAAGGAGTTGAAGCTCAAAGCCGACGACCGGCTCATCAGGTCCTCATGGCGGCTGAAAGAAGGTCGTAAGTGGCTATCAGTGCACCCGACCCTGTCTGGATGGATCCCTCCTGTCACAGCATGGCGAGCTCCTTCCATATGGAGAGGGGCCTAATTATCCCCCACCAATGACTGAATCAACATTTGATTATATCCTCCCCAAGGCTGCGCTGAAAGGCTCTATTCAAAGACCACGTTTATGTCTTTTCTCTCATAATCAAGAAAGGCTGTTATTTGCTAATGATAAGCCTAATTTCTTTTTTTAACACAACCACTGACGTGCTGTGCAGCAAAATGTCTGACATATCTGCTGCTTTATGCCCTTGAGGATACTGACTCCGATTTTAAAGGGGACCTATTATGCTTATCCATAATTTATGTCATATATTTATACAGCTACAACAGTGGATGTTCGTATTAAACATGGCCAAAGATTCATATAATAAGATCAGCGTATGCAGCTCGTTGTCAGACATTTTTTTTTTTCTGCATTTGGATCTGTAGGCTGTTGAAGTCGGGAGATGTACCTAATATCGTTGCTCGTCTCTGGCACACTGAACAGAAGGGGCAACCAATCAGGGTAATAGTGGCTTAAAGGGAAAAGGAAGAAGGTTGAAACGGCTCGTTTCTGACGTAGACTGTATATAAAATAAGTACTTAAAGTTGCGTTGTTTTTGATGACCAGTGTGGGGAGTGGGGCTCCTGTGGTTCCAAAACGTCGGGGCGATCGTGGCTCAAGAGTTGGGAGCTCGCCTTGTAATCGGAAGGTTGCCGGTTCGAGCCCCGGCTTGGACAGTCTCGGTCGTTGTGTCCTTGGGCAAGACACTTCACCCATAGCCTACTGGTGGTGGTCAGAGGCAGCCTCGCCTCTGTCAGTGCGCCCCAGGGTAGCTGTGGCTACAATGTAGCTGCCATCACCAGTGTGTGAATGTGTGGATGACTGGATGTGTAAAGCGCTTTGGGGTCCTTAGGGACTAGTAAAGCGCTATACAAATACAGGCCGTTTACCAAAACGTCCATTAATATAGAAGCCGATGGGAAAATGTATCTCCCACAGTTCCTTGTGGGTTTCAAATCTTGGTGGTCTACAGCCAAAATGCTTCAGAAATATACGTAATAAAACATTTCTAATATTGGACCACTGGCTCTGGTTTTCATGATGTGCTACCAGCTCGGGTGTAAGACCAAAAGGTCGTAACTACAACCAGAAAAGATGCAGACCTTGGATTCGACCTTCTTAGTGTATTTTGTCTAAGTACAGACTAATGATTAACAAACTTCTGTGTGTCTGAAAGGAAGCCGGTATATTGGCTTTTTAATTTACCAAATATCTGCGTGGTGCCCGTCTGACTTTGTATTGGAGTTCAGAGTCGTAGCTTACAGAAGGGGAGATGAAACTTCCTGGAGAAAACTTTGAAACCCGAAGCGATAGAGCCGACAATGCAATCACTGCGGTAACTGCAAACACATCCTTTATTAAATTCAGTACAGTTTTTATCAATGGATCTAAAGCTAAGCTAAACTGCTAATATAGGGCTTTATTAATTTTTCTCCACAAATGTCTTAATTTGTTACATAATAAAGAACAGATGAGAAAACATAAGCTTGTAATTTATGATTAAAACTCATCTAATAGCCAATCAAGTCAGCTTTATTTACATAACATTAAAAATGCGACAGATGTGAAAGTGCTGGGCAACATCTGCAGTCAGTTGTTTTAATCATCTTATTTGGACTTAGCACATCAAAATCAATGAGTAATGGCACATTTTAAAAATTAGTCCCATTTAATGGTTTTAGACACATTTTAGAGACCCTCTCTTTTTATAAGTGTTTGATTGAAGTGAAAGGACTGCAGCTCCTGAATATTGGCGCTTTATTGGCTGAATAGATGGTTTTCCTTTTGTGAACGTGGAAGATCAAGAAACCCATAAGTCCTTTGTTTTGACCGATTTCTTTGTGATCAGCATACCTCTGCGGTAATGCTTGAATGAGTTTTCAAACTTTGCCGACTCGAAGACAATAAAAATGTTTCTGTCAAAAAGCTCTCTAACTGTCAAACCTCGGGAACGCCTGTTTTAAAAGCTGCTGACGACAAAGCTGTGATTTTTAGATTTATTGTTGTTTTTGGTGGGGGATTTCTGTCTCACAGTCAGAGGAACCTGGCAGAAATCACAGAGTTGATCCACACAGCCTTCCTGGTGCATCGTGGGATTGTTAACTTGAAGGAGTGGACGGACTCAGACGGCCCGCTGAAGGACATGCAGTTTGGGAATAAGATGGCTGTTCTGAGCGGCGACTTTCTGCTGGCCAATGCTTGCACGGGACTGGCCCAGCTCAACAACACTAAGGTATCCTGTCTGTCACTAACACTTCTCCTGAGAAATATTTGACCTGACATGACTGATTTCAGGGGGAAGGGCTGCTCAGTATGTGCCCTTCGAGGTCCCGAGAGCCTCACGTATCAGTGCCAGACTTCATACCGACATCTTTTCTCTCAGTCATCTCTTTGTAGACATGAAATGTATTCAATAAAACACATTTTTGGCAGTTTTGCTACTTCTTATTCAAGGTGATGCAATCCTGATATTCATTTATTTGTACATTAAAGTGTTAATCTGCTTTAATGTCATGTTTTTCATTTTGCCTGCTTACTGCTGCCAATTCCTTTCCTATAGTCCTTTACGTCCTATCCCAGGGTTAGGGCCTGAAAGCCTAGCTTCATCCCAGACCTTTGAATCATCTCCTAATATTGTTTTTGATTAATGTCAGCATTATCGGTTGAAGAATCAAATAACCAATCGGAGAAGAGTTTGTCGACTAAAGAAAATGGGAAAGGGAAAAAAGTCCTGAAAAAAAGCTTGATTTTTAGTCTTGTGTTGAACCTGGGCTGACAAAACAGAGCTGATCATGTTGGACTTGGAACTAATAAATATTGCAGAATATTCCCTTTTACTGAAGAGCTGGAGAGAGAGAAGCGACTCAAAATCAATTGAATCTAACCCAGATCGCTAGAGCAAAAGAAATGAGAGGAAAAAAGCTTTTTGCTTTTGCTTTTCAGTAGACTGCTCACATGGCGTATTACTACCAAGCGGATCCATCACAGTCATGGTTGCGTTGCCAAAATGCGAAGCTATATTTCTATAGTTCACTTCAAGCTACAGCACAAGTTGCAACATAGGACATATGCCTAAGATTTCAAGCATTTAAATGAAGGACTGTTCATTTAGATTTTTTGTGTGCACACATGTGCATAGTGTGATGAACCTTCTATTTTTAAATATCAGAGCTTTGCAACTGTGAGATGAAATGTGTTCAATGTGTTTGTTTGACGTGACACAAACGATAATCGTAAAGACAGCGGTTTACCCATCGGGCACCTTTTAGTTAAATCGGGGCTGTCAAATTTATTTTAGTTCAGGGCCTGCAGACTTCTTCAGATTTTCCTCTTTTGTTTAAGTGTAAAGTTCCATGTGAAAATGTTCACATTTAATGAACTTTTTTTTATTTGCAAAACATGAAGAGCAATTTGAACAATATGCGGTTTTTTCACATTGAGTCGTTCCAGTTACACTAAAAAATAAATTAAAGAAAAAATGCACTGGCATTGGTTCTTGGCTTAACTGCATCACTTGTGTGCAGTGTAGCAGACTATAGGTGAGGTCTTTCAGTCATTCTAGTGATGATGCAAAGTATTGGAAAAACTTCCACATATTTTTCCTCCGTCTGTGAGTTTCAGCGCTGCAAACCCAGACTGGATCCTTTTGCGGGCCGTTTTTGGCACCCTGGGGTTAAATGGTTCTAGAAAACCAAAGCTTTGGTTCAGACATAGTGGGATAGAACGGTTCTTCACTGCTAATTGGGGGGGGCTTTTTTTGTCATTTTGAAGATCTGAAACAGAATTAAATGACTTAATTGTCTTTCTTTCACGCATCCTTCAACTTTCCAACAAATTTCAAGAAATTCATCTCAGTAGTTTTTTTGCAGGCTAAGAAAGAGGCCGTGCACTCCAACAGTTTAAGTGGAGGAATAACTTCTATTACAACTACAACTTGGCTAATGGTAACACTTTCTCATAGCATTGTTTTAGTGAGCAGACACTGCTTGGCAAGCATGACAAGTTTTGAAATTTAAGGATGTGTGGTGAGACACAGGTGAGACCTGATCTTTTCCTGGTTCCTAGATTCTCAGCAGGTGGTCCCTTTTTCTTGATAATTCAGCTGTTATTCTAATAACTTCATGTTTCACACAGTAATCATCTGGCCACCTGGGGGGGGGGCTTTCATCCTCAAACTCCTTCAAACATGGATCTTCCTAGCAGCATATTTGAGGTGCACGTGTCAGTCTTTGCTACATGCTGGTAACGAGGTTACCCAGCATATAAACTAGTTATAGTTTTAATCTTTTGACGTTGGTGTGGGAGCAGCCTTGTCAGAGCATCTGAGATCATATCTGCTGCGTAGCCTGGTAACCCCTCGTTGACAAATGCCGTCACCACGCTGCTGCCTCAGAATGCAGTTGCCTGAGTGGATCAAAATAACCATCTCCCCCTCCCGTGCCATCAACCGGACCAGCCCTTTTCGCCTTCCCTGATGCTTCTTTTTCAGCACACGTAGGCACATGTTGTAGGTTCCCAGTAGTGCTTGTTGTATAAGAAACACAGAGGGAGTTATAAACCAACCTTTCCTTGATCAGTTACAGATCATTCTAAAGGTGTGGTGCTTCCTTAATAGTGCTAATTGGCTCTGTAACAATACTAAGAGATAATAGACACTCTGTGGCTAAGCTACAAATTACAGTAATGGAAGTGATATTGTTGTTTTCCTGGAATATGAAGAAAAACACAGTGAGAATGAAATGATGGCAGATCTGCTGATGACTCAAACTAACGATGATTTAATCCTATTAAGCGTGCATTCAAGCCAAGCGCATTGATTAAACTGAACGCTTACAGCACATTTTCCTTTAGCATTGTTCATTTTCAAGGTGAGAACAAAGCCATTCATACTCAGCTAGCACTAAATTACCACAGAGCAATGCTGGAGAGTATTAACCTTTTTTTTTTCTTTCTCCCAAACAAGCCTGCAATCTGAAGCAACCACAGGAAGCATCCCCCGTAGTGGAAGTTTTTAGAGGTAATAAGGAGATGGACATCTGATAGCTCACAGTTACTCATGTTTGAAAAGGTTAGCAAAACAAAATGAACCAAGGGGAAACCACACCGCAGCATGCACTGATGCTCATATTTTCAGCCTTTTTCTCTGGTTGGAACACAGGGGAAATGAGATTATTGTAAACAGCAGAGATGAGTCTGTAATGCTGAGCTGAAGGTACAGAAATGTGGTTTAGTTTGGGCTGGATTTTGGTGTTGAGCTCTGCTCTGTTTAATTTATTGAAGAAGTAAAGCACAGTTAATTTCTTTGACTGTAATTTTTACCTGAAGATCCTTAGTCTGATGTTTTTATATCAGATTGTTGTTGTTGTTTGTTTGTTTTTTACTTTTTATACATATGCATCTAAGTTTATACATCGTTTTATGCATTTATTTGAGTGGTTTCTACTACTCAAATGACTTCAAATTACCTAATTATACTTAATTAAATCAGCACTGGTGAAAAAGAAAAATCTGTGTTATCTGTGTAATTTTTTTAATGGTTTTTGCTGCTCCATATGCATAATTCTTATGGGCAGAATTTCAAATGTAGCCAAGTGTAGAAAGTTGAAACTTTGGTGACCTCAGAATCGAGTCTCTCATTTTTGCAGATGATGTGCTTCTGTTGCCCTCAACATGTGACGCCCTCATACTTTGCTGGTTTTCACCTGAGATTGAAGCAGCAGGAATAAGGTCCAGGTCACGGCTCAGTTGCATAGTGACCTAAAGAGCATGATTACAGATAAGCTTCCTCTGAAGGGTTGTTGGACTCTCCCTTAGCAATAGGGGGAGGAGCTAAGTCATTCCTGAGTCACTGCTACTCCTCCACATGGTTCAGGAATCTGACTGGGGCCTCCTTGGTAAGGTGTTCTGGGTTTTCCTACTTGGTGGAGCCCATGAGATCTCACAGCTGGCTTGGGCGCACGTCACTGTCTCCTCAGATGGGCTGAAGGACGTGGCTAGGGAGAGGGAGGTCTGGTCTTTACTGCTAACCTGTTCCACAATATATCACATATTATTATTATTATTATTATTATTATTATTATTATTATTATTATTATTAGTAGTAGTAGTAGTAGTAGTATTATTAAATATTATTTTTTGCAAAATTGGTCTTTAAATATGTTTACGTTTACTTTTTTGTGTCAAGAGTCTCTAGAATTAAAAAATGGTAATTTAATATCATAATAAATGCATAAAACGAGAAGCCGGCTCAGTTCATCGGGTTGAGCAGGTGACCCATGTGCTGTAAGGCTATAGCGTCCATCCAACACTCACACCGGGGTCAGCCTAAAGCACAAAAAGCCTCCAAAATACTTTAAAAAGACATAAAACATGAATAAAATACTCAACTAAAACTAAAAATAATCCCTCAGATTTTATTAACAAAAGTAAAATATTTGGCACATGCCCTTAGAGGCATCATTTAAAATGCTGCCTGTTATATTTGGATGTGCAGCAGCTGTTGCACAAAGCCAACATCTGTCTCGTTAGCATTAATGTTTCCAGAGCAGAGCTACAGCTTTAAAACAAACTAAATTTTGACTTATTCTTACAGCGTTTGTTGCACAAATTATTCTGTTGTCAGGAAAAACACCTGTTAGCCTCGAGTAACGTGTTATCTTTGCCTCACCTGCTTTCCTGATGCTGTGTGAGGAGCTGCCTGAGTCTGAGGGGACGAGAGCACAAGAAATGAAGCTAAATGAATCTCATTCTTTAAATCCGAAACAGCTCCTTTTATTTGTCGCAAGTTACTCTGGAGCATCACTGCCCTCTTCTCTTCCTCCTCCATCTTTTCTTGACAGGAGCACAGAGGCCCTCCCCCCCTTTACAACATTACCCATTTAGCATGCCCATTATACCATTTGGTTGTGTAATTCCATGAATGCGGATTTACTCTGTTGATTAGTGTCAGCTGTGCATTATTAGTTGTTGTATTATAATATAAATGATTCCTATGATTAGAACTGCGAGTTAGAAGGATGCACAGTAAATGCAAGTCCACTTTTAATAGGTTCATCAGCACTGCTTGTCGTGAACAGTATAATACATTAAATCCTAACGGAAAACTGCAGCAGGTGCTGTCAGTTCATATAGAGGAGCCGAAACATTCATGTCACGTATGTAAATCTGACTATACGCATTAGAACTAATCTGCCTGGCCACTCTTTTAGTGCAATTAACCAGACAGCAAGCTATGCTGTTGTCAGATAACTGCACTAAAATGCTCAAAAAGGCACAAATGCAACAAACCTGTCACTTAAAGTAACCCCAACACCCAAAATTGCAAACATTAAGCACTGATACAGTTTAAATGGATGAATTATGAAATAAATTTGTTATGAAAGTGTAAGTTAGCTGAAACTGTTTTATGGTTGTTGCAGGTTTTAATCATGTCTATTTCTGCTGCGAAGTGCTCAGTTTAACATGGGAATCTATGTGGATCGACTCCCTTTTGGAGCGAGCCCCCAGAGGACATTTGAGGAACTGCAGTTTTTGGAATTTGCAAAAAAACCCAGTTGGAACTGTACAGGAGACGCAGTATCGTATATCTAGAAAATGGCATGAGAATTGCCACTCTAACATTTTCATTTTTGCATATATTTTTCCTGTTTTTTGTAGAGTTTGTAAATATTTACTCTTAATCCTGTATCCTCTTTGTTTTACCCGAAAGATAAAAAAAAATCTACAAATATGCTGTTGCATTTTCAAACGTATAATTACTCCAAGGCTAATGCAGTGAAGGCTATAAGACATTTTGCTTTTCACCGTTAAAATCTGTTAACAGCCAGATATTTACAGCCCTTTAACAGGTAAACTGTGCAGTTGAGTCTGTTGTTAAATATTGACGATGCAGGGTAACAGATGAGTGTTTCCTGTAGCTTTTAAAGTTTTTCTCATAAACCAGGCTTTTTTTTTTTTCTTTTAAGGCACTGAGAGCGATGGAGATTATATGTCGTGGCCTTGAGAGAAAACCTATGCCGCTACTTGTATAAACTGTAAAATAATCTTCCCGTGGAGCTCCGGTTTCTTCCCCCTCGCAGACCTGTCGGCAAAACACGATCTGGCTAGATTTGGGAATGGAGTAAGGGGGAGGCAGGGGGAGAGATGATCTGATACTTTCCAAAAAAAGCCCCCCACTGGCCCCCACTTCCCTACGCAGGCCAGGCAGAGACACCACATCTGGTAATACTGTAGGCACATTGTCCTT